ATCAAATCAAATTTCTATGCTTTTCTCCTGTTAATCTGTCTCTTGTCAGTTTATTTTGCAGGCCCACTCACTGAACCTAAGAGGATAGAGGAAAATTTTTCCTCCCCCACGACCTTTTAAAGAGTACAGGCTAGTGACATTGTCGACTGTCCCTCAAACTGAGTTTATCTGAAGTCTCCTCATGATTTGATTCAGGTTATGTTTTTTTGCAGGAAAACCACATAAGTGACATTGTATCCTTCTCAGTGCATCATGTGAGGAGGCGCACGACGTCAGACAGTCCCATTATTGATCATATTAACTCTAATCACTTGGTTAAGGTGCTGTCTGCCAAGTTTTTCTACTATAAAGTTATTATTTTTCAGTATGGAGATTCCTCAAAAAAACCCTAAAAACAGAACTACCACATGACCCAGCTATCCCACTACTGGGTATCTACCCAAACAATTTGAAATCAACAATCCAAAGTAACATATGCACCCCTATGTTCATTCCAGCACTATTCACAATAGCCAAGACATGGAAACAATCCAAGTGCCCACAGACCGATGATTGGATAAAGAAGATGTGGTGTATATATATACAATGGAATACTACATGGCCAGAAAAAAAGACAAATTCATCCCATTTGCAATAACAAGGAAGGACCTAGCAGGAATTATGCTAAGTGAAATAAACCAGCCTGAGAAAGACGAACACCAGATGATTTCACTCATATGTGGAATATAAACAAGCACTGGGACAAAGAAAACAGTTCAGTGGTTACCAGGCGAAGGGGGGTGGGGGGATGGGCACAGGGGGTGAAGGGGAGCACTTATGTGGTGACAGTCAAGAAATAATGGACAACTGAAATCTCACATTGATGTAAACTATTATGAACTCAATAAAAATAAATAAATAAAGTTACTGTTTTTTCCTTTGTAAATTAGTAAGTAATTTGTGGAGAGGTACTTTGAGACTATGTAAACATCTTATTCCTCATCAAACTTTTCCCTCTATTTTAGCATTGATGATTCTTGTTTGAACCAATTACTACTATATTATAAAATAGAGATTTTCTAATTCCATCATTTCTTCTCCAGTTATGGTTGACATTCTTCTGTAGGGAAGAGCTTCCCTTCTTATCTGTCCACCCATCCAGCTATTTATCTGCAGTATGGACTTAGGTATTCTTATTTTATTCGGTGGGTTGTAATCCATTACTCTTATTATTTACTTTGATGCTCAAATGCACCAGCTTTGGCCAGTGGGAGTCTCTTCAAGCTGCTTCCCATGTCCTTTTGACAGACACCCATCATTCTTTTGATCGCTTTGTAAAAAATGTTCCAGCCCAACAAGACATTCGTGGTTCATCTTGTACTTACTCTGCCCCAGCCTTAGAACTGGCCATTTCTCTGAAAAGTCCTAGTTCTTTTTAATAAGAAATGGCATTAAGAAATCAAGATCTAGGGGCAGACCAATCCTCATGTAAGACACAACAATAAATTTCTTTTTTAAAAAATGTACCTAGCAGAACCAAATGCAAATCCTCTCTGAGGGAACTCACTTCATTCAAGGCCTCAAAAAAGTCTCACAAATGAAATTCCAAGGAAAATTAGTGCATCACTGTAAAAACAACTAAACATGCATGGAAAAAAGATACCAGATGCAAGAACCAAGAGAAACAATAAACAACAGAAAGATTTACAAGGACGTTTGCTCTTGATGTGTCAGACCTTAGAGAGAAAGTAATACAGCTTTATTGAGAGGCATTTAAGGAGCACTAAACAGATGGAGATACACCATGCTTAAAAACTGGAAGACAATATCACAAAGGTTTTAATAATCCTCCAAGTACTCTATAATTTCAATGTAATTCCAATGAAAATCCCACTAGGATTTGTCATGAAACTTGAAACACCAAACCTAAAATTTATATGAAAAATGAAAGGGGAAAAATAGTCAAGACACTCGTGAGGAAGATGAAGTAAGTGGGGAGACTTGTCCTACCAGATATCAGGTATTATTATAAACCTATAGAAACTAATATAGTGGGACATTGGTACAGGGACAGACAAATTGACTCCAGTGGAACAGAATAGAGAACCCAGAAACAGACCTATGCTTTAGGAAACTTGATATATGAGAGATTTGGCATGGCAGATCACTGAGGAAATTGGGGTGAGACAATTGGTTAGCAAAGACAAAGGTCAGTTTCCAATATATAAAGATTTAAAGTGAAAGGAAAAATTGTACTATTTTATTTTTTTGTGAGGAAGATTGGCCCTGAGCTAACATCTGTTGCCAATCTTCCTCTCTTTCTTTCCTTTTCTCCCCAAAGCCCCAGTACATAGTTGTATATCCTAGTTGCAGATCATTCTAGTTCTTCCATGTGGGACACTGCCACAGCGTGGCCTGATGAGCGGGGCATAGGTCCGCGCCCAGGATCTGAACCCGTGAACCCCAGGCTGCCGAAGCGGAGTGTGCAAACTTAACCACCCAGCCACGGGGCCAGCCCCAGAACTTTACAATTTTAAAGAATGTATTGGACATTATCATTCTAACCTCAGGGAGGAAAGGATTTTGTATATAAGAAACAAAAGGGCTAACCACAAAAGAAAAGACTGATAAGGTTAGCAATATTAAAATTAAGACCTTTTGTTCAAAACGACAACACAAAGATATGAAAACATAAGCTGTTAACTGGAGGAGGCTACCTGCAACACACATAACCGATAAAAGATTAGTCTCCAGAATATAAGAATTCCTATAAATCAATAAAGAAAGAAAAGGAAGGAGGGAGAAAGGGGAGAGACAGACCGTCAGAGGCAGAGACAGAGAGACCAAAAGAAAATAAATGAAAGACACAAACAGGCATTTCACAGAGGAGAAAACACAAATGGCAAATAATCCATGAAAAGATGTCCAACCTCATTAATATTTAGGGAAATGCAAATTTAGATCACAACATGATACCATTCTACCCACTTGATCAGGACGAATTAAGAAATCTGTTATTATAATGTTGGTGCAGATGAGCATAAGGGAGTACAACACACTGCTGGTGTATAAATGATCACGACCACTCTGGGAAACAATTCAGCACTAATTTAGGAAGTTGAACGTTCACATACTCTGTGACACAGCAAATCTACTCTGAAGACCCCTAAAGAAATCCTTAAATACAAATACCAAGTGAGTTCATAATAGCAAAAACAAACAAAACAAAAAACAAACTAAATAATGGAAACGTTCATCAAGAGGAAATAAAGGGTAGCCACAGTGGTCCACATGGATGAACCTTAGAAACACTGAGTGAAAAAAAACCAAGTTACAGAAGACTAAAAACAACATAATACCATTTTTAAAAAACTCAAAAGCTGGTAAAATAAAATAATATTTTTTAGAATACATAAAAATCTTATTCTTAAAAGGAGTAAGGGAATGATGACAAGAACAAATGCTCAGGGCAGAAGCACCTCTGGTGGAGGAGCAGGCGGATGGGAAACGAGTGAGTAGGGGCGGCGGTATCGATTACGTTCCAGTTGTTACAGTGGGTAGTGGGTTCACGGAGTTCCTTTTATCATGCTTCCTAATCTGCATCAGGTTTCTCTATTTTCATGCTATTGCCATTTTGGGCTGCATCATTCTTTGTTGTCAGGGGCTGTCCTGTGCACCATAGGATGCTTAGGAGCATCTCCGGCTTCTACCCTCTAGATGCCAGTAGCCCGCCCCACTCAGCTGTGACAATGAAAAATGTCTCCAGACATTGCCAATGTCCCTGGGGAGCAAAACTGACCCTGGCTGAGGATCACTGACATATATATATGTTATATATATTTTTGACTGCTTTGTAATAAAACAAAGTTTAAAAGTGACGAGCAGAAATTTCACTCTGTCTGTGAAGCACAACCAGGAAGTGGTCTCGAGGAGCTGGGGAAGCCGGAGCCTGCCGAAGGCCTTTGAAGTGACAGCGCAGAGAAGGGAAAGCTGACAGCTTCAGGAGGGTTTTGACTAGCAGGTGATATTTCTAGAAATGGTACGGGGTGTTGGGAAATCAACGACTACAGACACACTGGAGGAAAATTTCTGCAGCCTTTCTCAATTCTTTGGGAAATCCAAAAGCTTAGGTTAGCCTTTTAGGATACTGTTCAATTTTTTAAAAACCTATTATTGGGCCTTCTGTTTATATAAGACCCCTGTAAGGACTTGAAAGAAGTCCATATATTTGGTTACCTTTGAGGAGGTGGCTATGACTGCAAAGTCACCACACATCCAACTGTGGCCCCCAAAAGACTGGGATTTCCCAGGAATAAGATCCGGATAACATAACACCACTGGTCTGGGATGACAAGTGCCTGAGATCCCACAATCACCAGCACACCCCATTAGTCCAAGTCCCTCCCCAACAACATGGTTCTGCTCGAGAGCGCCTACCTCATTCTTGTACTTGCTCTACAGTCCCATTTAACCCTTCATGGGGAGTTTGTTACTCTCATTTTTTAAATGGAGAAATACAGACACAAAAAAGATACGTGACTTTTCAAGATAACGTAATCCAGAGTAACTGATTAGAAATAGAACTGGTGTGAAAATCAGGTCCCCTGAATCTTGGTCTTTATGTTTTTTTCACCAGCCTCTGAACCATGTTTGGGCATGTGTGAGCATGCATGCCCAGACGTGTGTGTGTGTGTCTGTGGTCTGGAGGTGTATGTGTGTTTCTCTGAGGATAAGGAGAAAAGACAAATGATTGAAGAGAAGAGTTAGGAGGAGGGACATGGTAGAAAGAGCACTGGATTCAGAAGATGCTGTGGGCAAGACCTCCCTGAGTCTCAGTTTCTTTAACTGTAAAAACTCATAGAATGATTGCAAAAATCAAATGAGATATGCATTTGAACGCACTTTATGTTTCTATATGTAACTGTGATTGCATTATTAGAGTTATTATTAAAAATGTAACACAGATGATAAGCAACCCTCATGGGTAGGATGACTCACATTTTCTTGGCACCGGCTCTTACCATATGTCCAGTTCAGAGGAATATTCAGTGGCTCCCAGCAAGGCATCAGGAGGGCGGTACCAGAGTGTCACAACTTCTGAAGAGTATGTCTGGCTGGGAACGGACTTGGCCCGAGCAAGACCTGACCAAAAGGGGAAAGCGCAGAACTCATTGTCCTGGGACTTCCTGGAGAGTCACAGTGATTTATTCTACCAAGGAGAGTATAGCTGGCAGAGTAAACAACATTTTAAAAATAATACACTGACTTTGAGTGCTTTTAAAAAGCCACTGAACTATCTTGATCCTTGTATGTCACTTCATCAAGTGAATTTCTCAAATTTTGGCCTACTTTGCAGCTAGATGTGGCCTTCCTTTCAGCCAACTGTAGGGAGGTGACTAAACTCTTGCCTCAATTATACAAACGGAAGTGATGTGTGAACCTCCAGATCTTGCTCTTAATGGAGGGGTTAAGCATTCTTCTCTTTTCTCCTTTCTGCAGGCTATAATGAGAGGGAGGTGGCCACCATTTTGAAATATGCAGTTGGGCAACAGCCTAGGGACGGTGCGGTCACATGACAGAAGGCGCCAAGATACCATGGGGCCACCATGAGCTCTGACTGCTTAGGTCAGATTGTAATGCATGAGAAAATTGTTTCTAGCATGTTTATATCTCTGTAATTTTGCATCTCATAATAGCAACTGAACTCAATTCATGACTTATATGGGCACCCTCCATTTTTGCAGTCCAGGAACCCCCAGTTTAGTAGATAAAGGGTGGGGACTGCTAATCTACCCTTTATGTACTAATAAAGTTGATAAAATAAATAATAAGGTTGATAGGACCTTAGATGAGACACTCTCAAGTGCTCCTCTGCAAAATGAGAGTACTTTTGTCAGGTCAGCTACTTATTTCAAAGAATCTCATGATCTATAGCTGGAAAAAAATCTCAGTAGATGAGTTCACTTTGTGGGGAATTGCTGAAGGAATGTCTGTTAAATGCTTACACGTCTGGATGAAAGCTACTATCTCAGAATAAGGTCCTATAGCTATAGAATCTCCATCTGACATCTCTCAAACAGAGAAGGGTGGTTCCTCAGCTCACACAGAACTAGTTTTTCAATAAATATTTATTGAGCACCTATTATGATGCCAGGCACTAGGGATACAATGATAAACAAAAATGGACCCAGGCTGCCCTCATAATGCCTACGATCTAGTGGAGGAGACAAAATCATCCACATATATATATGTGTGTGTGCATAATTATAAACTGTAATAAGGGCTAAAATGGAAACATACAATGATACTCTGAGGACATGTGCATCACTTTGATGGGAATAAAAACCTCAGGCCCTCATATAGTCATACCTATATAGATACACAGGTGAGCGGAACAAGTGTCCCAGAGCCTCCATTCCAGCAGGAGTCCATCCTACAATCTGAGGTTAACTTCTTTATCCTGCCATCCTGGGGTAACCTCGATCTATTCTGACAGAATTTGTGCATCCACTCAGATTTAGGGAAACCTACCAAGTCCAGTCCACTTGACACACGTCTCTCTATCAAAAATGGCAGTGAGGTCATAGGGGTGCCCGAGTTTTAGGATTGATTAGACTGGGGCTTGATGGAGTCCTAGGCAGCTTCCAATCACACACTGTTTCTTGCCTCGTGCGTCCTATATGGTAGTTTGATACCCTCACAAAGCATCTTGTTCCCCGGGTCTCTACTTTTCAAAGGCCAGACCTAGTCAATGTTTTAAACACGTGCGCACAAAAGCATCATTGTTCACAGCCTAGAAAGAGACTCGAGGGGCAGCTTACCAAAATCAGCCAGTTTGAGCTCTCCCAGGTGACTGATGAGTAAGTTCTGAGGTTTCAGGTCCCTGTGAAGGACGTGTTGGTGGTGGATGTGCGCCAGGCCCCGCAAAAGTTGAAACATGAAAAGCTGGAAGGAATGAACACCTTATCTAAGCAAAGTGGAGCCACTACGTGTTGATTTCTCCTCTAAATCAAAAACAGTCATCTGAAAGAATTTGGTAAAAGTGTCTCTTGAGAGACCAAACAAATGAAGATTTTACATTCGTGGGGGCAGCGGGAAGGACAAGGAAAGTCAAGTAAGTCGAACATGTCCTACACAAAGGGATGCTGGCTTTTCCTGACATCTTGTTTCTTTGATACTGATGGAATTACCCTTCCTTAAAAATCTAAAGTGAAACTTTGAAGTTTCCTTTGGAACACTAGTTATTGATTTAGATGTGAAAGATTTAATTTTTTCTCCCACCGATGAACTTGGCATATAAGATCAAAGTTGACCTGGAAATGTGAGTCTGAGGTTTACAACTGCCTAAGTTTTCCAGGCTCTCTGATATGAAACCCTTTTAAAAACACAACACAAGGAGACCAGACCAGAAAATATACCCTTAGATGGTAGTAGGAAATAAAGGAACCATCATCTTTTTAAACTTCTTTTTAAAGTCTCAGGTTCAAAGTTGAAAACAAAGGAAATATACAGTATAGATTAAGAGGGGAGACAGACCAAAAGAAATTAGACCAAAAAAGAAAAAAATCAAAAGAGAATAAGAAATAAATAGTAGAGAAGAAAGAAGCGGCGGGGTGGGTTGGGGGTGGGGAACAACAGCAAAAATACGTTCTGGGCCCAAATTTTAAAATGTTGCATGTAGTTATAAGGCACAGAAACCAAAGATATTATTAGGTTCCCACCGATATAGAAGCTTAAGGAAAAAAAAGAATGCTTATTATTCCAAGTATCTTTTGCTATTTTCCAGTGCCACCGGCAATTGAGAATTCAAACATCAACATTAGTGTTTACAAAGACCTATGCCAACTGAGAACATGTTCTGGCTGTTTAGAAAAGAAAGGGCCAGGTCCAGCGTTCCTCGGGCCACAGGCAAAACAGCAGACGCAGAGCTGCATGGATAAATCCACTTTTTCCATCACATCTTGGAAACTAGGAACTTGAGAGATGCTAGGACCTGCACTGAGCTAACAATGACTTGAAGACCTTGGAGCCGTGCTGATGAGCAGCATGGGCTGAATGAAGCAGGAGCTGGGGAGCTGACCCACCACAGCAGAGCTGTGGCCATGTAGGTTCCATGCAGGTCCCACATCAGGGTCGCAAGCCACGTAAGAATGTTACAATTTTCTTGAGACTCCCACTTCAAATGTTCACTGGTTCCATGAGTCTTCCCGGTGATTTCTCTTCCTGGTGCTTCAAACACACACTGTTTGTTTTACCATTCATCATATCACTCAAGGCACAAAATTCCTATACCAACACTCAAAGCTTCCAATTGGTTATGAACATAAATGTTCATGGAAAAGGCTATATAAAGAAGCAACTCAAGTCCAAGGTACAAGGAAAGATGCCATAATATGTGCTTAAAAATACGTTTTTCCATGTAATGGTACCAAAGAAAGAGGGAGATGGAGACAGCTGAGGGACAGAGACAGGAGCAAGGAAGGGAAAATAACATTTAGCACCTTTTGTAATCCTGAAAACGACCCTGTGAGGTCTTATCCTCAATTTACAGAAAAGAAAAATAGGGCTTTAAAAACATGTTTAGAGGCGCTGGCCCAGTGGCGCAGCGGTTAAATTCGCACGTTCCACTTCAGCGGCCCAGGGTTTGCCGGTTCGGATCCTTGGTGCGGACATGGCACCACTTGGCAAGCCATGCTGTGGTAGGCATCCCACATATAAAGTGGAGGAAGATGGGCATGGATGTTAGCTCAGGGCCAGTCTTCCTCAGCGAAAAGAGGAGGATTGGCAGCAGTTAGCTCAGGGCTAATCTTCCTTAAAAAAAAAACAAAAAACACCTCTAGAAAGAGTCAGGGCCAGGTCTCAAATTCGGCCCTCCCTGACACCACTACACCATCCTGAGAAACTGGAGAAGAGACAGTGAAAGCACGACGGGGAAGGAGGGAGTCGGCTGAGTCAGAGACAGCTTCTTAGTGGCCAGGCTGAAATGCCTTTCACGTCCCTGGAATAGACTGTTCTCACTCATGAGTCACACCCGCCTCCCCACTCCTTGCTCTTCGGTCTCTCTCCTCCCTGGCTCTACAGATGTCCTCAGGCACTTGTACGCAGTAAAGTACTGCGGTCTTAAGGTTTGGTATTTCATAGTCACACTTCTCAAAACTGCAGTCTGTGCTGACTAACCTCACCTCCCACTCGCTCTTGAGTCCCTTACAAGCTGAATTCTTCCATCAACACTGCTGAAGCTGCACCAACAACGGGACCAGTCTGACGGTGCTTTCTCACTCACCATCAAGCCAGAGTGTGGGTGACTCTTTCCAGAGAGGCTCCCATACCCCAGGCGTTAGTCCTGTTTCCAATACAATGAGTCCCTTGGGAACATAATAATTCCACTGGGCTAGTGCCATCTGGGCTGGGAGTCCCTCAAAAACATATCAGTCAGCCAACTCCTGCAGGGGAGCCCGAGTCCTTCCACTCGCTGGGGGTCCCTGGGATTGTTCTGCGAGAAATCTGACACAGGCTAACCTCACTGTGTTCCCAGCCTGTCTTCTGTGGTCACTACTCAAAGGGTAAGCCTCTCTGACTATTCCTTTTTCCCCACATAAGCTCGTCTCCAAACTGCTTAGTGCTTCCTCTCATTTAACCCAGCATCCATCGCTCCTTCCTCTCCCAGACCTTTTCATTGTTCAATCTTCACTCCTCAGTCTGGGTTTAAAAACTCCCTACAACCCAACCACTAGGGAATTTCCTTCTGGCTCCTTTCCTTGAACGACGCCTTGAGTTCACTGCTCCCCTGAAGCATTCTCAAATGGATGCTACTTTTTCTACAACTTACTCATATCTATGACCACCATGAAGTGGGGTCAGCAGCCTCCTGACTCCCCAGTACCATTTCAAAACCATTGCTTCTCCACCTTTAAGTAAAAATCCCTGTCCCTTGGGCTTTCATGTCATCCAGCTCCATTTTCCTCGATGCCTCTTTTCACTGTCATCCACAGAACTCCCCACCACTCTCCACCATTCACTGAAGACTTGGGCACCTGGATCACAGCTGTTGCTTCCTTGACATCAGTGCCCATGTGAAAAAGCCCAGCCAGCCCCCTCAGTTCCAACAATCTGCTTCTCCAACCCAGTTCAGCCTCTCAATCCATGGTCACACACCGGGTCTTGCCATCATATGCAACTGTCCTCTGAAATGTGAAATTCATCCCTCTATAAAATGGCTTCTGCAATGATAATTTCATTCATAATGTTTTCCCATGGTCACCAATGCCTTTCACTATGGAAAGCCAATGGACGCCTCTCATTTCTTCTCCGTGCAGCATTTGGCACCATGTTTTTCTTCCTGAAGCTCTCTCCCCTTGGTACAGCCTCTTAGTTTTTCTATCATTATGGCTGCTCTTTTCATGAGTTCTACTTCCTCTCCTGATTGCTAAGATATTGACGTTCCTTAGGGCTCCATTCTTGACCTTCTTACCTTATCACCTTACGCAGTCTCCCTCAGCCATCTAATCCACTGACTGCCTCAATTAACAACTACAGTTGGATGATTTCAAAATCTTTATCTCCAATTCAGATCTCTTTCCTAAACTTTAGACCCATATAGTCTGAAGTTCACTTGGACATCCCATAATCACCTCAAATTCAGTATATCCAAAATTTAACTCACTATATCCCTCTAAAATCCGTTTTCCTCTCTGTTTCCCTGTGGTAGTGAATGGCACCATCATCCATCTAAATACTCAAAACTAGAATAATTTAGGCCAGCCTGGTGGCACGGTGGTTAAGTCTGCATGTTCCGTTTTGGTGGCCGGGGGTTCACAGGTTTGGATCCTGGGTGCAGACCTAGTACCGCTTGTCAAGCCACAGTGTGGCAGCATCACACATAAAATAGAGGAAGATTGGCACAGATGTTAGCTCAGCAACAATCTTCCTCAAGCAAAAAGAGGAAGATTTGCAACAGATGTTAGCTCAGGGCCAATCTTCCTCACACACGCACACAAAAAGCTAGAAAAATTATTGCTGACTCTTCCATCTCCTGTCAATTCTAGCTAAGTAATTGATCGAATATATGTCCACTTTCCTCCACCATCACCTCACATCTGCACCACTGTTGTCCTGATTAGCCTCATTGTCAAGGCTGTAATCCTAACAGATACCAGCATGTGGGGTATGACTAGAGGAAATAGGAGTATGAGATGGGAGTAGAAAAAAACAGGGAGAGAGTGCAGTCAGGGGACTATGACATTCCAAAAAAAGGTCTTGCCCTCTTTCTAACCTAGTCACCACAGTGTCATCAGAGTGAGCTTTGCAAAAAGAAAATTTGAAATTATCACCTCCTTGTTTAAAGCCATTTAATGGCTCCTCATATGGAACAGCACGACATAGCTGAGCCCTTCATTCTCTGGCTCCTGCTTACCTCTCAAGTCTCATCTCTAACCATCCGTCCCCAACTCTGTTCATTCTAAACCTCTGCCTTACTGAACTACCTTCCATGTTTGGAATATACCACGCCCTCTGGCATCCTAGCATTTTCACTGCTGCTTCTACTATAGCGAACTCATCCCTACTCCCACCTGCTTTGATTGGATAACTTTTTCTTTGAGCTTCCGTATACCCCTAGGAAGCCCCTCTATTTATTAGTGTATCCCTCCCAAACTCACAAAGTCTTTGCTGTCACGTATGAATTTCAATTGTATGGGACCCAACCATATTATGACAATCTCAACTATGCCTTCCTTGAAACTGTGCCTTCCCTTGACTTCCATGAAAATGTATTTTTCTGGATCTTATTCATTCCTAAAAGCTGCTTCCCTTTGTCCCTTGTGTCCTGTTCCTTTTCTTCCCTAAAGGCAAAAGTTCTATCCCCAGTCCTTTTTTCTTGGTGTGTTTGCTCTTTTGGTTATTGATGCTCTTGTCTTTAACTACAAACTCCATGTGCCGATTACCCTCACATCTACACCTCCAGCCTATGTCTGTCTCCCTCCTGAGCACCAATCTCCTCTTCAGTTGCTGCTGCTCATTTCCCTCTGGATGTCCCACCTCCACTAGGAGCTCATCACATCTAAAACAGGATGACTCCTCTTTCTCTCCAACTCAACTTTTTCTCCTATTTCTGTTAACAGAGCTGTAATTCTCCTGGATGATCAAACTCAAAATCAGTCATTTTTGGCCGCATCTTTGCCCTCTTCATGCCCAGTTAGTCACCACGTTCTGGCTGAACCCTTCTTTGTTTTAGTTTTCCACATTCCTTTCCATTCTTACCTTAATTACCATAATTTAAGCCTTTATTCTTACCTAGATCCTTGTTCCTCAAAGTTTGGTCCTTGACCAGCAGCATCTAGATCACCTGGGAGCATGTTAGAAGCAGAAGCTCAGGCCTCACTCTAGACTTCCTGAATCAGCTCTCTGAGTCGTTCGTCTGCTCATTGATGTTTGAGAAGCACTGGGCCAGACCACATCAATAAACTCCTACCTGGAATCCCTGACTCCAGTCTCCTCTCTTAATCCACCCCTCAGACCACAGTTACTAAGTTTCCTTCTGATCATCTCATTCTCTCTCAACTCAAACTCCTTTAATGACTCTACTGTCTAAGGAATAAAGTCCACATCTTAGAAAGTAAGGCTCTCAGCCACCTGCCAATCTATTTCCCCAGACTAATGTACCCCATTTCACTAAGGTATTCTATATTTCAGGCCAACAAGACCAAAGATGCAGTACAGCATTAGTGGAAAAGAGTCTTAACCAAGAATCTCTTTCAGCAACCGCAAGAGCTGGCTCTATAATCTCAGGCAAAGTATATGTCCTCTCAAACCCTGGATTTCAATTCTGCAAAATAAGGAAGTTGGACCAGCCCAGTGTTTTTAAGGCTTTTTTTTTTTTTTTACTGCAACCCACTGTGAAAAATATATATGTCTCCAGTATTCACATCCATACATAGATGAAAGCACAGTTTCAACTGGAACAAAAATTGCACAAAATAATGCTTACTAAGCGTAATGTGCTCTAATATTTTCTATTCTCTTCTCATCCATTCTATTTCATTTTTTAAAATGCTGGTTGCTAGTCATCAAATTAATTTCATAACCCACTAATGGGTCAGAACCTGAACACTGAAACCACGGTGGTCCCTCTCACCCTAACAGTGCATGACTCTGGGGTCCTTTTCCTTGAGCACATCCTCTACTTCCCTGCTCTGTGCCTTCGTTGAAAGCATTCTTTCTTCCCGTAACATCTTTCCCTATCCCAGCCTCTTGAAATGCAATGCATCTTCAAGGTTTGGCTTAAGGAAACATCTTAAGTGAGAAGATATCTTTTACTTTTTTGCACATCTACAATACTAGGTCTTATTTCTTGCTTGGCAATATTCACAAACGTCCTGTGATAATATTGGTGTATACTTCTTATCTCTTCTTTTTGTTTCTTAGGGGCAGGAATCATATCTTCTATGTCTTTTCATCCTTCTAAAAATTCAGCACAGCGTCTAGTATGTGAGTCACTCAAGCCTGAACATCTTTTATCTTTCTCATGGTTATTCTTTCTCCAGCCATTCTTCTATTTCGTCAACATTTCTAGTTCCTTGACTCTTCCAGCTCTCTCCCTACCTATCAGCAACCTGCTTATCTTTACTTCTTTCCTTCAGATTAGACTCAATTTAGAAACCACTGACCATCGCTTTAACCTGTCTCTTGACAATCTCCTCAATTCTCTTGCCCAACTGTCCTTTCCTCTCACACGTCCGGCAAAACTCCAACTCTGAGTCAATTCAACCGTCTACTCTCTTTGCTCCTCTATTCAAATTGCTAAGCACTGCCATTTAAAAGAAATCCAATGCTCATGCAGATAATTTAATGGTTTTCATCCTCACCAGGGTCCTTAACACACTACGAGACATTCCTTCCTGATTTCCCTAGTTAGTTCTCTATCCCATTCTCCAACAGCTATTTTAAAATGTTTTTGCTGTCCTCAAACCTTTTCCCCCTTGCCTCCAAGGCTGGATTAAGTCCTCTTACTATGAGTTCTCATGGTACTCCTAGTTAACACGGCCATAGCTCTTAGCACTTTGTTTTCCACTGCCTATTTAAATCCATATATCTTACCAGACTTTAAGCTCATTGAGAATAAGAAATGCAACTTATCATTATTGAAACCTCAGAACTCAATATAGTACTGAATACTCAATAAATATTTTTTGAATGAATGAGTGAATAAATGAACACATAAATATTAGTCAAACGAATGAGTACATCATACAGAAATCTCATATGGTTATGTTTAGGGCCAATCAATTAATTAATAACGATAAAAGCTTAGGGAATGAAAAGTATGAAATACAAATGGTTTCTAAAATTTATAATAAATGTAGAGTTACAGCTAGTTAAGAGTTTATTACTATTTCTCTCCCAGTGACTGGAAGAATGGAAGTTGGTCTCATATATAATAGGATCTGATAAAACAGGCCAAAGGGTAAGTGATTAAGATCCAACAAATGTAGTTTGTCTGCTAATTCTAGTGCGGAACTATAAGCACAACACAAACTTGATCACAGACCACAGTATTCTGCCACAAAGAAGGCATTTATTTTATGACGGCCTTGCTTCACTTCTTTCCTTTTAATGCAATTCTTTTTAATCGACTTATACTTCTAAAGACATTTGCAAGACGGCAATGACTGACAAGGTTGGGTGGCCCAGAAAACAACTAGACATCGCTCCAAATCTTGAGAGGTAACTCTTTTTTTTTATTACTTTTCTCTGGAATATCAGTGATGTTTATCTTCTTACTTAGCATCATGGAACTTTGCTTCGCGATTTCAGTCTGTTTCAAAATTCTCCTGCTGTGGGCAAGCCAGAAGAGTCCTGCCCCTCACAGTACTCACCCTGACGTTGTGAGGATGAAGGCCTCCCGGGTGCTGCGACATATACTGGGCCAGGTCTGTGTGCTACACAAAGTAGTGGAGAGAGTGACGTTAGCGGTGCTTGGTTAATACCCTAAAGCAGACCGTAGACTTGACCGTCAGAGGCCCAAAGTTCAGAACTTTTGAGAATAAGGAGCATAAGGTACATAACGAGGTTTTCTGAGATTCCGCTGTTAAAAGTCAAACACAGCGTGCCTTCCTAAGCTGCTGCTCCTAGAAGGAAGACTGTTTCTTGGCACAAAGAGATGCTCCTTGAAACGACTGGCACTGAACACAGAGAGGGGGGTTTTCACTCCCCAAGTGTCCTTGGAGGCAAGTTAAGGACACATGCCTGATGATTTCTTTCTGCTTATTTGAATATTTTTTCCTTTCAAAAACGCAAAATGAGTTATTCTTTAGTAAACTCGTATACAATTTTTTAAAACCTTGTGATTTACATCTTTATTGTCAATGAAAACATGTTGGGTTCTGCTCAGATCATGATTAAAAATAGATAAAAAATAAGTGCAGGAGTTTTATTTAGGAGGCAAACTCAAAGTGCTTATTTATTATTGCTGGTGAGGGGGAAAGACAGCAAATATAGCGAGTAAAGAAGTAGGACCAAAGAATGAGTCTGGGCACAACAGGCTCTACGAGCCACAATGATGAAAATTTCCATGACACTTTCCACATTGTAATGAAAGTTTTATCGTGCCATAAAATATTAACAGATTCATTATACAAGCACCGGGCTTTCCCCTCATGCTTCCTAAAGTGCTGGGGCAACTCACCACGTATTCAAAAACGAATGTCAGTGTCTCTTTGGTGTGGATTATGTCATGCAGGAGCACAATATTGGCATGTTTCAAACCCTTCAGGAGAGAAGCTAGAAAAATTAAATAAAGATGTTAATTCAGTCATTGATAATGAAAGCGTTGCCTTAAAAGGCATCAAGCAGCATTTATTTTTTAAACATTTCACATCAAGCATTCTGGTTTTTTACTGCTGGAAAAAAATCTCTTGTTGTGAAGTAATATTTAAAATCACAAAGGACCTTCACTATTTGTTAAACGGCAAGTCATTGCATTTACATAACATTTTTCTTAGAGGCTAAAGCAGTTGAAAAAATGTGGTTCCATTTACCCAATCAATTTCATCAAAGCACTCAGAGCACTTTGCAAATGCTTTCCTCTGGGAATCTTATCGTCTCTGCTTCAGAGCCTCAGGAGAACAGGCTTGCAGAGAGGCCATTGGGGGAGCAGGAAATGCAGTGTTCTGCCTTGCAGGGCAGGACTTTGCGACATGACACCATTCTCTAAAATTCAAAATCCCACAGCCAGTCAACAGGGCCCGTGGACGTGAGTGGTGGAGGGCAGGGATAAGAGCATGCGAGGAAGGATTGTTGAAACATAAGAGCGAGTGGAGGGGATTTCTTAAAGGCAGAATTGCAAACCTCTGTGGACAGGAGAAAAGGCAAACTTGCAGAGAGGAGAGAGCCAACCTTAGGGAGCCCAGGGCAGTGGGGGTGCTGAGGACTCTCTTACCTCCTCAATAACAGATTATTAGGTCACTAAAGGAGGCCTTAAAGGGGAGAAGTCACCACAAAAGGCCGGTAAATGAATGGGAGGGGGTTTGAAAGGCTGTCTTTGGGGGCTCCAGAGATAGGAAGACCCCCAGCTTCAGGAGAGTGGAGACCAGAAAAGGCTCAATAATAAGATGATGATTCTCAGCTTAGGGCATCTCTGCATGAAGAAATAGTATCCTCAAGACTTAAAGGAAAGGAAAAGTTAAGTACAGAAATTCTAACGAATGTTCTGTAGGGTCCATCTACCTATCATGAATCTCCTGCACCAACTCCCTCCCAGAGTTCTGTAAGATTAAAGACAAACTCAAATACTCCCTACAAAGTTTGGAACACAATTACTTCCTTCAGGAATCTTATGTACTGATCCTCTATTGTTTTTTCCTCCTGGCAGCCATTCTCCCTTCTAGTGGGGACACCTCTATTTTTCTCTGGGGAACCAACCCTCTGCGACTCAGCCATGCTCTTCTGGTGGGGCTGACCCAACCCTACCCAAGAGTGGGCATGTGACCCAGGCCTAGGCAATCAGAGCACAGCACGCCCTAGCCACAGTGAGCGGGTCAGAGACAGGCACAAAATCCAAGCCTGGGAGAGCCCTGTTTTGCTGGTTTTCCTGTTTTCCACGAGGAAAGAAGTGCTTTCTTTTCCACTGTGAGGGCTGAGCTTGTAGGATTTAGCCAGGAGTTGCTATGGTCAGATTACCACCACCTGGCGAGAGCATGCCTGGGAATAAATCTAAGGCAGAGAAAAACAGTGTGGGGAGATGGAGAGACATGGATTCCTGGGTGACATTGTCTGCACCCTGCAAGCCCGTAGTTGCAGATCTGTGAACCGGTGAATTTCCTTCTCTACTGAAGTCAGTTGGAGCCGGGAACCTCTTAGCACCAAAGGCTCCTGCCCACACCTTTGCTCTAATGACTCTTTTTGCCCCTCGAATCCCTATGAGCTAAATGTATTATTTCACTTTTACAAGTACATGGCTTTGTAAATGTAGTAACAGCTTCACAGGCCTCTATTGTCTCTAGTTCCAGACTGAAGCCTACACGGGAACTGGGGGAGTGACTTTCCCCCTCTTTCAGATGCTGCCACACCACCTAGTGCAACACTCAGCCCAGAGTAAGCACTTAATTTATCAAAAATATTTATTGAGTGTTTTAACGGAAAACTGACTGTGGAGCCAGAAGCCCTAATGTGAATCCTGGCCCTGTCACTTTCTGTCTGAGTGAGCTCAGGAGAGAATCTCAACCTAAGTCTCAACTCACTCCTTATGAAAAAGAGATAATGCCTTTCCTGACTTGACTTCACAGGATGACATGAGGATGGAATCAGAGCCCATGTGTGGAAACTTTGGTAAATGTAAAGTGTCACATGGGTGCAAATTAGAATTAATACCCCGGCCCTCAGCTTCTTCCCCTTCCCTTTCACCTTTAACCCCACTAAACCCCTCCTTCCAGATTAACATCTTAAAATTTTGTTTATGTCATTTTTGCGAGAGTTTTTACCACCTTCCGTAGTCACAACAACACTTCTGACATTAGTTGAGAATGCTTGTATTTTATGTGTATTTTTATTTATAAATTATGTTCATGAATTTCTCTCTCTATGCACACACATTACAAAGGATATACCAAAATTAGATTTTAAAAGCATATGGTAAAGCCGAAATTACTAAGAATATTGATATTTTATTTTTAATACAATTATAGTCTCACTTAAATATGATATTACTAAAACTCCTGATGCTGATTTTTAAAATCATGATGGCATGTTTTGTTCATCACAATGGCTTCATACTATCATTTGCTAAAAAGCTCAGGAAATAATATCTACTTAGGATGAGGCTCACAGCTAACAACAGTCAGTATACATCTTTATTTCATACAGTTTTTCTTGATCAATTCTGTTTCATAGGAGTAGGGAAAGTGTCCGTTTTGCCATTTCTCTGCTATTCTCTTACCTTTGCATTAGTAGTCTTATCTTCAATCCGCAATTTCTTTGCAGAAATCTTCTGAAACCATCAACCCCTTTGATGAGGATTCACTGCTCTAGTAAATTGCAAATACTCTCAGCTCTTCTTCTCCCGCCCCCGTCTGATCCGTCAGCAAATCTGTTGGCAATACCTTCAAAACATGTCCAGAATCCCTCCCTCCTTGCCATCTCCTCTCCTACTGTCCTGGGCCACTGTCACATCTCACCTGAATTATTTCAGATTAACTAGTCTCCCTGCTTCCTCCTTCCTTCCCGCAGTCTCTTCTCCAGAGAACACCAGTCACTGTGATCCTTCCCAAATGGAAGTCAGGGCCTGTCCCCACCTGGCTCCAGACCCTCCAGTGGTGTCTCATCTCACTCCGAGTAAGATGGAAAGGACTTACAATGGCCTGCCCAGCCTTGCACCTCCCACCCTTGCTCACTTGGCCGTAGCCACATTGGCCCCCCACCTGTATTTTGGACACTTCCAAACACATTTCCATCCCTGTCTTACACCTGCCCTTGCCCCTGTCTGTAATCCTCCTGTCTCAGCTCTCTGCATGCTTCCTCCCTCGCTTCCTTCAGATCTCTGCCCAAATGATATACATAAGGTCTGGGCTTCCCTGACCCCTCTTGATGAAATAGCAGCCCCCACCCCTGACCCACAGCAGTGACCCTGTGCCCTGCTGTATGCTTCTCCATAGGTCTGTTGCCCCTGACATGTTATCTGTTTGCTTGTTGTCTGTCTCTACCTTTAAGAATATAAACTCCATGGAGAGCAGCTGCTTTGGTCTTTTTTTGCTTACTTCTCTTTCCACAGTGCCTAGGACACTGGGATATGATGAGCACTCAGTAAATATTTATTGTTGAATTAGTGTCACTAATGACCTAATATTTCTATACCTATGATTGGTTGGCATTAGGTATTTCTGTTGAAGATGTTTTATTCTCTGTGTCTTTGAATTGTCTTTATAAATGCTGTGTGTTATGACCATGTCTACTACTGCTTTTTTAACACCCCATAACTACTGAAATACTTATATAGAAACTGTGACTTTTGATGAGTAATAATAGGGAATTTTCATGAAAGAGCAGATGACGTTTAAAGCATTTATCTCACGGTATTGGTATATTGCTTGGTCCATCCAGCAGAAGTATCTAAAAGGCCTACAGCCTCAGATGCGTGGGCCTTAAACCTAGGAAGAAAAAAATCTTTTTTTTAAGTTCAAGGCCACCTCATAAACTTCACAGGAGGATGTGGTGTGTTCCGCAGGCTGATCAGCTGAGGGATGCAAAAGCCAACTGAGAAGCGGAAAGAGCCTAAAATCAGAGCATTCTGATCCTGTAAAATTGTTGTGTTTATAATTCACATAGTCTAAGTATACTTACTTTTGTTTTTCTTCAAGGAGAAGACACTAGGATAAATTTGGGAGACTTCAAAGCACCAGACAAATGGAATCACAATGGAATTACTTTAAGTGCTTCTAAAATAGTTTTATAATGATGATGATGATGACAATGATGATAACAGCTAACACTCATTGAGCACTTCTCACATGCTAGGAGTTGTAAGAATTTTACATATACTAACTTGGTATGATCATGAGAACACTCAAAAAGCCAAAGAGAAAACCTGAAGAAAACAACATAATCTCCTATAGGAAAAATGACCCACGACAAAACATTATTCAGCTCATTTAAAAAATGCAGAGTGTTTCTTTCTTTATTTTAAATGTCCAAAAAGGTATTTAGTATGACCAACTAAATACCACTGGAATTCCACCCAATGGAATTTAATCTGATTCTCATATATGTAAGAGATTTAATAATGTAGAAAAAATTATTTTTATCTTGCAATGATATAAGAATATTTAATTTCTTGGTTTTGTTCACTTCATTTGGGTCTGTGGTTTAGTGAAGTTTTGGGAAAATTGATGTTTTGCAAGTGCAATGGATCATGATGTTTTGATATTAGTCTACTATGTTCTGCTTTAGTTTAGAAGAAAATGTAAGGATGACAATGACAAGGAAGAACAAGGCTGACTTTCAGAGTCCTAGGGCACGGCTGTGTAGAGAGAGAGTGCCTGGTGGTCCAAGCCCTCTCCAGATTGTGAGCTCCCAACAGCGTAGATTTTCCCTGTCCGTGTCTTTGCATCTCAAGCACCTGGCACAGGCCTGGCTCGTGGTGCTCAATAAGTGCTTGTGAATTAATGAAGGCCCGATAGTTGTAATGAGTTTATGTAGGAGTCATTAATGGAGCCAATTCCCACAACTCAACCCACGTTGGGCACTGAATTTAAAACAGTTCGTAGTTCCTGATGTTACATTTTCTCTGGCCTGTGTGTCACAAATCAAGTCAATGAGTTGAGTGATGCATTCCAAGAAAAGACATCATCTAGATAAATGTAGATAATTATTAAGACACATGTTCGATAATAGTTAGCATCTGATTTCTTTGGAATTGCAATCCCAATCACATACCATCATCCTACCACTGTTTTGTTTTATAAAAATGTAACTACGCACTTGTAAATATGTCACGTCCCTGCTGTGCTTTGCTTGCATTCAGTGGAGGGCTTCTTGTCCGCCAGACCTGCCATAATCTCTGTGTGGTAACAGCGACTCAGCAGTTCTAACTGGCATCCTCCACCTCATTGTATGACCTTGGGGAGGTGACTGACTTTATTTTTGGCTCAGCTTTCTCATACTTGGACTGGGAATAGTTCCTTTGTAATGTTTTCTGCTAGTGAATGATCTTAAAATATTCTCCACTGCAACTGTTTCTAATTTAAACACTGCAATTACTGGAAGTCGACAGAATCAGAATTGACAAATAGATAATATTACGTATTATTTTCTTTAAAATATTTCTTCAGCATTTTGCCTAATATTTATACAAAATGTATCATAAAAACAGATTTTTATTTTTACTGTTGCTAAAGAGAAATGCTTGAGTTAAGAATTTCTAAATTTATCATAATAATGTAGAAAGGAGATTGAGTAGAGAGAATGAATTCTAACACCTAACATCTCTGATTACTAGCTCTGTGACCTCAGACAAGTTACCTAACCTCTCTGAGGCTCAGATTCCTTCATCACTACAATAAAAATTACATACTTTACCAACTAAAGTTGATGTAAGAGTTTTAAAAAAAGATTATGGGGGTAGATTATATCAGATGCCTAGTCCTCAAAAAAAGATTAGTTATATGGCTGCTTCCTAAACAAATGCTGTTAACAGGCTGAAAGTCCAGGAAGTCCTTTTTAAACCCAAAGTGTCTATTTTTATAGAAGATACTTAAAATAATACACATTATCAATATATTGATATATCATTTAATAAAATTGGGGAATGTGCTCTTATATAAAAACTTAAAATATTAGCCTATTCAAATGGAAGTGTTTTCTCCTACTTGTAAAAATAAACATTTAAAATGTAATTCTAGAGCCAGTTATGAAAGATTTTCTAAGTTGCTATGAAGACTTCTAATCTTTATAATTAGCAAAGCAATGAGGGTAGGGAACATGTCTTTGTGTACAGTGCTAGGTACCCAGCAGCCAGCAGAGCACCTGTCCATAGCAGGAGCTCAATAAATATTTGTAGAACGAATGCATAATGTATGGATTTTTGAATCAGAGAGATTTGGTTTGAATCACGGCTATATATTGGAATAATAATACTATCTATCTGTAAAGGTTGTTAAGAGGCTTGAAAGAGGTATCACATGAAAAGTATCTGGCACACGTATTAAGAGATGTTTCTCTTAGTGCTGTTCATACTTTGGCTAATTCATAATATTTCATGTTAAGATCAAATAGTATTCCAAATGACCAGATTAATAAACTGCCACATGTATTCTACCCATAAACAGAAAGACTGTACATGCAGTAAAATCCTACTCAATAAATCTTCGGCTGATACGCCATCAGAGCAGCCAAACTGTTCAGGAAAAGTAATTCCTGCTTCAAGGCTTTTTAAAGAAGCCTGCGTTACTTGTTCAGTTTTTCTGCACGTGGTTTTCGGTTGCCTTTTTAGCTAGTGACCCTGGATTTTAACTAATGAACTCCAGCTGTTCTTATTTTGTCTTCCAGCCCTTCTCATTTAACCTCCTGTCTCCCTGGTCTCACATCCCTAAAGCTCTTACAGGAAAAATGGGACAGTGCCAAAGTTTTCCAATTTGGCCTCATGTTTTCTAGCGGGGAGGGCTCCTCTAACAAGGGGTCCCAGCTTCACGCTGGTGGAAAAGAAACATTCATTGTTGGAAATTGGATGCCTAACAACCTCCAATGTGTCAAAAATCCTTTTGTGGTTTTTAATATTATACAAGCAAAGCATTCAGTAAGGTAAGTCCATAAAACAAACCCAGAAAGCCCACAGTCGAATACTAAATATAATTGCAAACACCTGTGATGGAGAGGCCATCCTTCAGTAAATATGCAATAAGAAGAACATTTAGCATACAGAACAGTACAGGTCCAGCTTTTGTGAACCATGCTGAGAACCATCTGTTAGCAAATCCGGCAAAAGCTTTCACTGTGCAAGTCAAATGTCAACCTGAAAAACATGGCTGTGGGCAAATCTGAGTGAGCAAGCTGACAAAGGCAGCACCGCAAGAACGGGGTGAACCTGGGCCTAGAGACCCTCCCTTTATGTTGGTGACCCGGGATTTCCATTATGTTTAGAAATACTCTTTAACCTATGCACACATCTCTTTTTAAATCTGATCATCCTTTCATGGGGACCACTAACAAGTACATTAGTAAATGCAGCTTCCATTATTAAACACTTAAAACCATGCTTTTCTCCAGAAGGCACCTGATCCGACCCAGATGACCCGATTGCCATTTGGTCCTCCCACTCAAATTCAAAAAGATGTGTTTCCCAGGGGCTCTGAAAGACTTCTGAAAATGGCATGAAATTCAGTTATAAACTCATTTTCTGAATTGCTTTTTCCATGCCTATTTGCATAACCCATCCTTCCAAGCTCAGTTCCATATCTACTGACTTCATTAGCCACCCTGAGACTAGCTGCTCTCATCTGAGCTCGTCTTTTTTACCTCCATTATAACACTTGTTGTAACTTGAATCATCTGCTCTCTTAAGACTGAAAATGATATAGAGCAAAGATCAGGGCTTTCTCTTCTCATCCTTCACAACACCCAACAATCTGCTTTGCCTATAGTATGTGCTCTATGAAGAAGGGAATATGAATAAGTTAAAAGGGGAGAAAGTGAGACTGGGGAAGAGCCATTTCTCTGGGTTTTTGCTGAAATGGGTAGCAATCCTACTATCATTTTATTTCAAATGGCTCATATAAAAAGGTTAATAAATTGCATTTTTAAGGATTTATTTTCACTATAGTGGCTTCTCGATTTTTATGTTATAAATTATTTAGTTATCTTGATGGTGAACAAGATATCACTAGGGAAAAGAACAGAATGGAATAAGAGTAGCCAACAATTGTTGAACTCTGAAAATGGACTCTGTGATAAGTACTTTATATGCATATTCTCATTTAATCCTCGTAACAACTCAATGAAATAGGTACACTTAGCCTCTTTCTGCAATAAACCGAGTCTGAAAGAGGTATAGGAATCTACACACAGTCACATCACTAGTAATTGGTAGATCTAAGGTTTAAACCTGAGTCCATCGGACAGGTCTCTTACCCACTTGTGATACTGCCCAGGTCACAGAGAATGGACAGGGACGACAGTAAAAAACGCACGCCTTCCCACAGAGTTCTTCAATGCTATCTAAACAACTTATTTTCAGGCAATTTGCTTCCTGAGAATTTGTGTGATTATATATTTTTCTCTCTTTTATGTGCATTTTTCTGGGGTTACATAGCCTTAGCATTAGTATGGGACCAAACACACAGAAAGTATTGAGTTCGTACTCAGGACTCATTGAGTTCATAGTCTTAGTCAACTACTGTAACAGTTTTGAATCTTAATTTCCTCAGGAATAAATAATAAAATGATAGTATAAATGTACTTGGAAAACTGGTATGAAGAATAAAATTGCAATTATAATATTACTTTTAGAAATATCAAAAGCTAAACGCTGAATGACTAGACCCAATGCATTTTTTAAACCAAATCAAGGACTTAAAAACAGATCTCTTGGGCCCGTTGGCTGTTCTTACCTTCCCGGATAGCTGTAAATGGGACTCCTTCCTCTGCATTCATGCTGATGACTTTTAAAGCCACTAGTTGTCCGTTTATTCTAGGAGAATCAGGGGACAGGGCACACGTTTATCAAGATGGTTCATAGCAGCAGTTTATACTAAGGATAGTTTAACAAAAGTCGCTTTCCTTCAAAATAGATTCCAGTGTATGAATCTATAATTTTCTCAAAATAAAAAGCTTTAAAAGTCATATGTATATTTACCAAAACATTTTTTTTCTCTTTACCAAAGTGATATGTGTTCATTATAGAAAATTTGGAAAACACAGAAAAGCACAGAAAAACACCCCCGCAAATCCATCCTCATAATATTTTGATGTATATTGTTCCTTTTCTTTCCTTTTGTGCACTTACGTGAGCCATCTTTATTTTTCATCCGAATCACTGTGGTGGCCTCTTAACAGGCTGTCTGCTGGTACACTTGTACCCTACTATCTACTCTCAACAGAGTAGCCTCAGGCACTCTTTTTAACTGAAAGTCAAAATCAGTCATTGCTCTGCTCAAAACCCACCACTATCTCCACATTTCACTTTGAATAAAAGCCAAATTCTTACAATTGCCTCCTGCGCCCTACAGGACTTGCCCAGTGCCACCATTCTCTCTCTCCTCATCTCCTCCTCCTCTCCCCTTATTCATTGTTTCGTTTGCTGATCTAAGCTAAGTGCCAGAGAACGGAGAAGATTTTAATGCAAGTATAAATATATCGTTTTTAATACAGTGGGATTCGTATCACATTATTAGTAACCTGTTTTTCCTCTAACTTTTTCTCTTGTACTATGTGATATTTGATAATGACATAATATGTCGTCATATAAATATGTAATGTGTTTAGCCAATTCCAAATGCTTTTAAATTGTTTCTAACTTTTGACTACTATAAAAATACAGTGACAATCATATTTGTAGATCAAAATTTTCATAGAGCTCCTGTTATTTTCTTAGGGTAGAGGTTGAATTGCTAAATCAAAGAGCATGCTGCGCACAAGTTTTTTTATTGTTTTGAACACATGTTCCCAAATTGACCACACGGCCACACCAGCACTGCCTTGCCAACACTGGACCGGGTTGTTTTTTAGAAGAGTTTTAGATTTACAGAGAAATTGAGAAACTAGTACAGCGAGTTCTCATGTACCTCACATCCAGTTTCTTCTATTGTTAACATCTTGTATTAGTATAGTACATTTGTTATAATTAATGAACCAATATTGATACGTTATTATTAACTAAAGCCCATAGTTTATTAGGAATTCTTTAGTGGTTTGTGGGGTTCTTTTGCGGTAAAATTATATTGTTTATTATGGGTTGCATAGTAAACTGGTAAAATTTGGGGGTAATTTCCTAGTAATACATAGGAAAAGCCATAAAAGTACCGTACCCAGGAATTTTTCCCAATAAACTTATATAATAAAGATTTTAAAAATTCCAAATGCAGGAAAGATATCCTCTATTGTATTAGTTAGAAAATAGAAATATCTGAAATGTGCAGTGGTTCGAGGAACAGCTAAAAAATTTGTGGTACATCAATACAATGGAATATTTTGCATTCATACAAAAGTTTAATTCCAGGGACATGTAGAAAAAACATGGAAAAGAGTTATGATAAAATGAACAGTAGAATACAAAATAGCAAACACTTTGCTGTGGCTTTATATAAACTGCGTGCTTATGGAGGACAAAATGCACAGGGGCAATTGCTGTGCTAAAGTGAGGGATTGTAGATGGTTTTTAAATTTTAAAAATCTATTTGCTGTTGTATATTGCCTTTTTTCATAGCATTTATAAGTTTATTACGGCTTTCCAACTTTATTTCAAAATACTTTCTCACAGTAACTATTCTTTTTGTCTCTTTTAAAGTAGATATCACAGTAGATAGGTATAAATTTATGAAATAAATCAATTTATCTTAGTCCTTTCTTTTTTTTTTGCTGAGGCCACCAAGTCGGCCCCTTGTTCTGCCTTTTAAAAATCATATTTCTGGGGCTGACCCGGTGGTGCAGTGGTTAAGTTCGCATGCTCTGCTTAGGCAGCCCAGGGTTCGCAGGTTTGGATCCTGGGTGCAGATGTGGCACTGCTTGTCAAGCATGCTGTGGTAGGCATCCCACGTATAAAGTAGAGGAAGATGGGCACGGATGTTAGCTCAGGGCCAGTCTTCCTCAGCAAAGAAGAGGAGGATTGGCAGCAGATGTTAGCTCAGGGCTAATCTTCCTCAAAAAAAAAAAATCATATTTCTTTGATCTGTCTTTTCTTACACTTGTGCTACACTAGTTTAATTATTGTGGCTTTTGAACACATTGAGAATACATTAAAACTCTGAATTAGACAATTATTGACTTCTTTGTGCTGTTAGATTTTCTAATCCCATACCCTTATGACTGTCCCTGGGATGACCTGTGGGACCCTATTCTACTCCCCTAGGGCAACTACAACCCCTGCCTGCCCTCATCTCTCTTCTCTCTCCCCTCCAATGCCAGCTTGCCCTTGCCTCAGGGACTTGTTACTTGCCTGAAGCCCTCTCCACTCTCCACGCACACAGCTCACGCCTCACCTTTGTCAGGGTCTCTGCTCAAGTGTTCCCTCTCAGCGAGGCCTCCTCTCATCACCCTACTTAGAACAGTAACCCACCACCCCACTCTGGCATGCCCTGTCCCTCTGCCCTGTTTCACTCTTTCCACACAAACACAGTGTTTTACTAAATTATTTATTGTCTATCTCACCCCCACTAGAACGTGCACTCCATAAGAGCAGGGATTTTTGTCTCTTTTGTTCTCTGATGAATCCTTATTGGCTAAAATATGCCTGGCACATGGTAAGTGCGTAGTAAATATTAGTAGAATGAATAATGCCTGTTCAGCTTTCTTCAAGTCCTTTATGTCCCTTAGTAAATCTTTATATAAATTCTGCCCATTTTTTGTTGTTGCGATTGTGAGAGAAATTTCTCTACTATATTTTCTATTAAATGATTATTGCTAACACATAAGACAACTTTTTTTTCCTGAGGAAAATTCACCATGAGCTAACATCTATGCCAGTCTTCCTCTATTTTGTATGTGGGTCACCACCACAGCATGGCCACTGACCAATGGTGTATGTCTGTGCTCAGGAACTGAATCTGGGACACCAAAGCAGAGCACACTGAACTTAACCACTAGGCCATGGGACCGGCCCCCATAAGACAACTTTTGATAAGTATATTTTGATTTTGTAACTGAGTACCTTATTGTTCTATCTTACTACTTTTAATAGTTCCTTAGATGATTCCCTTGGGTGTCTTGGGTAGACAATTCTATAATCTGCAAAAATTGTATTCAGTCTTATTTTTTCTCATTGCCTTGGCTAGAAGTTTATGATAATCTTTAACAATTAAGGATAATGGGCATTCTTGCCCTATCTCTTACTTAATAGTGACGTCTCTAGTATTTAACAAAAAAGTTTGTGGGCTGTGGACTTGAAATCTTCCGCATCAGAATAAGGAATGATCATTCTATTTCTTTTCTGCTCAGAGTTTTAAAAACTAGTAACTGATGTTGAATTTATCAAGTGCTTTTTTGTCATCTATCTCTAAGATATTTTTTAATTTGTTTTAAAATCATAAATGCAGTGTCTTTGTGGTAAGGAAGAAAGTGAAAAGTTTGATTTTATTTCCCCACCCCAGTTGCAACCACTAAAAGTGTCTACTTTTAACAATCTCTTGTGCATTTTTCCAAATTTCTCCATGCACATACAAATTTATACAGGTACAGTACATCTGACTGCTTTTTTTCTAAATGAGATCATAGGGTACATATTCTGTAGCCTCTATTTTTTCTCTTAAAATAGGGCACATCTTTTCATGTTAGTCCATCTATCTCCTGCTTTAGACGGCTGTGTGCTATTTCATTGTTTGGTGATTATTCACCCAGTCCTCCATTAATGGATATTTGTAACCAGGTTTTCACTTTTTCTGCTACAAATCTTGCTGCAATGAATACACTTTTACATGTATCTCTGTGCACTTGGACAAGTATTTCTAATATATTTTTCACATTATTACTAGGCTGAGTCTCTTGAAGAAAATCTTTTATATTCTCAGTTCCTAAGATAGTCTACGGAAGTGAATTAAATCCTCTTTCCACATAATATATTTAAAATGACACTTCTCCTAAAATCTTGTTTTAACAAGTGAAAATATTAACACAAGTACTAAGATCAATAGTGAATATTTAGTCTTGTCGCATTTATATTAAATTTTTAAAATTAACATTTCACCACTATTATTTTTATTGAGCCATTATTTTTCTCCATTGGAGTAACATAAATTAAAGAAATCAGGCCTTCCAATGTTCCCACCTTGACTACAGCAGTGGAGGTCATGGATCTTTAATGCATGCTTCACAAAGTTTGTTGTTAGCCAGAATGGGCACTTGGCTTCTGGACTAGCAGCATTTTTATTCTCCAGCCATTTGGTATATTTTGCAAATAGAAAACCCAGGATTAATCTTTTTTTTTTCATATATCATCCTTTGTAGAAACCAACTTTAGTCTCTTCCATGAAGGCAAAGTGGGAGGACAGAGGATCAGACTCAAGGTTGCCATTGCAAACCTGTCATGACTTAGGGAGGGACTTGAAAACCCTTTAGAGACACCATAGCAACTGCCCTTCTCACCAGGCTGAAGAGCAGGAATTGTTCCTTGGGCCAGTCTACTTTCTTTGTATTGAATAAAAAAGAGGAAAAGCTGATAAGCATCTTACTGGGCTGGCTTTCATCGGGACAGGGCAAGTTTGTTTTCCTTTCAAGGCTATTTAAATCATCGTGTCTCCCCCTGTCGACTATGGTGTCTTGCACAGGTCCCAGATGCTGTGAACTTCTGCCATGTGTCAACTGACTTTATAATAACAAATCAGAGGATGGGATCCTCATCTCTAAAGTCCCTCCCAGCTATGAGTCACTCACCTGCTAATCCCCTTGTAAACCGTAGCGTAAGAACCTTCACCCAGCTTCTCCAAGTTCAAGTAGGATGAGGCTGCCCCAAAAGGGAGGCTCTTCCTCTGCTTAAGGGGAACAGGGAGGGGTGAGAGGTGGGAAAGAAAGAAAGGAAGAAAGAAAGAAAGAAAGAAAGAAAGAACACCTTTTTAGTGTTGATTTTTTTTTCAGAGAACTTAGACAGCGTTGCCAGAACGTACTTGGGAAGGCCCGGTCAGGAATTGCCCTGGAGGTAAGGGCCAGCCTCCCGGGGACAAGCATGCATTAAATTCTTGATCAACATCAGCTGCTCACTCACCCACTGAAAACCCTGCCTCAGATCCTCTTCCTGAAAAGAATCACTGTTACTCCGTGGCCTTTTACTCTTGAACTTCCGTGCACGGACAGCCTGAAGTCCCCTGGGGTGAAATGAAGTCATGGAACCTGACGCTTCCTTTAGATCTGTTAGCTAAAGAAAGCAGAAAGTGCAGGAATAAAATTTATGCAAAGTCAAGATTTGGTGGCTGACATAAACCGGTTTTTCGTTATTTGCCTGATTTTCACTCTTCACATGTTTTCTGAGCTTCCTACATCCCCAAAAGACACCTTTCCTGAAAGTCAGAGTCCTAAAAAAGACCATACTAATATCAACTGCTGAAACATGACATTCTTTTTTCACCTAAAAATATGTCTTTAACTCTTGGGTTAACCTAAATCTCTCTGATGGATGGTTTCCAATTTTTCTCTGTTTAACTCAGGCTTTTTTTTTTTTTTCATGTCCCCTTAATTTATCTCCTTAGGGGAATAATTTTCTGGTATGGCATTGCTAATAAGCATGAGCTAATTATTAAAATTTTGAATCCTAGCATACCAATACTGCAGCTTCATTTTTGAGGTTCAGCTCTGTAATTTAGTACTTGAGAGATTTCAAGAGAATAACTAACTTTCTCAACTTCGAGGCAAGTGAGTTTCGTGCAGTGCAAAGCATAGGATTATTTTTCCCTTTTGGTTTACAAGAAAATCCCTAAATTTGATAACAACAGCCACAAATTCTCTGTAACTTTAATAGAATTTTCTTTCTATTGGTTTCGACCTACCACAGAAAAATCAGACCCTGCTTCCGAAAGGGAGTCTCTGACCTCCTTGGTTTATCAATAGAGGAAGACGCTCCTCCTGGATACAAATACCTCGATCGCAGCCTCCATCGTCACAGGCACGCTCCTCTGACAGCTGTGTGCATCGCCTCCCTCCCAACAGCGATGGCAGCTGCATCCAGGCTGGAGAGTCTTTGCACACAGCTCTTGACCCATAATCTTCTAGGTTCAAGGAGAAAACCCGTGCTCGAACCTCTCCCCTCTGCCTCTCCCGTCCTTGTCACTCCCTCCTGCCCGAGGTCAGCAATGCTAGAGATTTCATATGACCCACATGAGGGCTCTGCCTGGAGCAGCCTCATGACTTCAGCAGTTTTTCCTTCTCGGTGCAAGAAACTATAGATCAGAAAGGCAGCTGGCTGCGTTCCTCTGTGCTCAAATGAAAACAGGATGGCTAAAACATAAGATAGAATAAAATCTGGCACAGGTAACGTTCTTATTCTAGCCACAAGTTAGTGCTGTTGGTACATAGCTTTTATGAGTTTATACTGCTTAGCCACGTAAATGCTAATGATATTTATTAGGCTTCCCTGGTACTAAGGTGGACAGGTTGAGGAGTATTTTCTCCCTGCTTTTATCTGAAAGCATCCTGCTTTTCTGACTTTAAATAAATTTGCAACCTAGCCAACTTTTAGTAGTCAGAGAAACCACAGAATCATAGAACGGAGGAAGGCTGAGGGTGTCTACTCTGCCTCTTTGCCTTCAAGCAACAGTGCATCTAACAGTTCCAGAGAGGCGGTCATTCATTCATTGATTCAAAAACTATCTAGTGAGCACCTGTGTTGTTCTTACCATACGGATAACAACGTCACCCAACGGTGGAGAGAGAGGTGTGTGAATGAAATACCTCCTTCTCTCCCTCTCTCCCTCCTTCCTTCCTTCCACATAAATGTAATTCTTGTTACTATATTAATAGCACGACAGGTCAAGGAACTAGCTCCTGCTAGTTTGTAGCCTTTGAACAGAACTACTTTCTCTCATAGACTCCTAAGGTTGTTGCCAGTATAAGGTACTAATCTGAGTGATCGAGAATGTAGGATACACACACACACAATCTTATTGTTAAAGGAAAAAGTGAGAGTCATGTCTATTACCACAACATTTTTTATGTATATTTGATATCCGAACCTCACAACGGTTTTAAAAAAAGCTTTCAGATAATTTCATTATGAGCATGTATTGAAGTTTTATTTGAAAATCGCCACAAGAGAAGAGACCTAAAACAGGCCAATTCAAAGACTCACTCAGGGAACCAGCCCAGTGGCGCAGTGGTTAAGTTCACACGTTCCGCTTCGTTGGCCCAGGGTTCGCCAGCCTGGATTCCTGGGTGCGGACGTGGCACTGCTTGACAAACCATGCTGTGGCAGGTGTCCCACATATAAAATAGGGGAAGATGGGCATGGATGCGAGCTCAGGGCCAGTCTTCCTCAGTAAAAAGAGGAGGATTGGCAGCAGTTAGCTCAGGGCTAAACTTCCTCCAAAAAAAAAAATTCACTCAAATTACAGACATTTAGTTGAAAGAAAAAAAGTGACTAGTTACACTAACACACAAAAATCAATATTTGGTTAAAGACTATTAAACATTTGGCTGACAATCAATAGAGAGTGAGAGAAGCTAGTTCCTCAGAATATTTCTTAATTCCATTAGAATTTATCATAATTTGATTACAATACATTTTATCAGAATGCTGATTTCTTCCTAAAAAGAGATTGTGATTTTCATCATACAAAAGTTATATCCCAGACCAGGTTTGAGTTAGTCGTTTTTTTTTTTTTTTTTAATCATCCTCTAATTATCAAAAGTTTTAGAATTTTTAAATATTTAGCATTTTTATTAGCCTAGGGGGTAATTTACCTAAGTCACAAGTTGCTAAAACAGTATAGCCTGATTTTTTTAAGGTTTGTGTGTGTGTGCGTGTGTGAGGAAGATTAGCCCTGAGCTAACATCTGCTGCCAATCTTCTTTTTGCTGAGGAAGACTGGCCCTGAGCTAATATCTGTGCCCATCTTCCTCTACTTTATATGTGGGATGCCTGCCACAGCATGGCTTGATAAGCGGTGGGTAGGTCCATGCCTGGGATCCAAACTGGCAAACCCCGGGCCACTGAAGCGAACGTATGAACTTAACTGCTATGCCATCAGGCCAGCCCCTTTGTAGGGTTTAAAATGCTATGTTTAGATTCTTGAATGGGCTCCTGAGGGAACTTGTGAAATATTCTTGAGGTTTTCAAAACTGGAATAACTTATGGTCTTGTTTAAAGTCAAGGAAAAATATTAGATGACTTCTTAAGATATTTTCTATCACTGTATCCAAAACAATTTTTGTTATCAAAAATTTCTGAATAAGGACAGAAGACTCAGATGATTTCAGTTTGATTTGTGAATCAGACCCAGTTTACGTGCCACCCCAGGTTGGCCGGATCAACCTCGATGGTTGGCTGCTTAGTGGGAGAAGCCCCCCTCTGCTGTTCTGAAGCCTGGCCACTGTTTTTGCCATCTCCCGCTGTCACAGACCAAAGAGCTCCACACATGAAGCTGACTGGCAAGGAGAGACCCTGTGCCTGGCCACTAGCCTGAATGGACCAATACAGGCTCCAGCTTCTCCAGCACCTTCCCGCAAGGGCCAGGCGGCACAATGGTGAAATGCAGGGAGCCCCGTGAAATGCACTTCCACCATCGTGAAACCAGCTGCGTTTGCTCTGGAGCAGAGCCTGGCTCAGAAACATGCTCCGTTTATTTGCTCTCCTTCTTCTCTGCGTTTCTTCCCCCTCACCCTCACTTCTGCTTCCCGGGATGCTCCTGACCCCCTCCCCCTCACTTCTGCTTCCCGGGATGCACCTGACCCCCTCCCCCTCACTTCTGCTTCCCGGGATGCTCCTGACCCCCTCCCCCTCACTTCTGCTTCCCGGGATGCACCTGACCCCCTCCCCCTCACTTCTGCTTCCCGGGATGCTCCTGACCCCCTCCCCCTCACTTCTGCTTCCCGGGATGCACCTGACCCCCTCCCCCTCACTTCTGCTTCCCGGGATGCTCCTGACCCCCTCCCCCTCACTTCTGCTTCCCGGGATGCTCCTGACCCCCTCCCCCTCACTTCTGCTTCCCGGGATGCACCTGACCCCCTCCCCCTCACTTCTGCTTCCCGGGATGCACCTGGCCCCCTTCCCCCTCAATTCAGCTTCGCGGGGATGCACCTGACCCCTTCCCCCTTCACTTCTGCTTCCAGGGATGCACCTGACCCCTTCCCCCCTCACTTCTGCTTCCCCGGGATGCACCTGACCCCCTCCCCCTCACTTCTGCTTCCCGGGATGCTCCTGACCCCCTCCCCCCTCACTTCTGCTTCCCGGGATGCTCCTGACCCCCTCCCCCTCAAAGTCGAAGCTGTGCCTGAGACTCTGCTTCCAGGGCATCTGTGTGAAGACAAATGGTAGTCATTGTTTAAGCAGCAGTAAAATTATAGGTTAGTGATCATTTCAGGCTAGCTTCTCCCACCCTACGTTTTTGGAGTCCTAGTCCCTTTCTCAATGGTGTGTCTTCAAACTACTGTGTGTAGTTCAGAGTTTGCACTTTTTCCAATCTTTGCATACTATCTTTGTAAAATTTAGCCAGATTATTAGGAATTATGGTCTAATTATATTTCCAGAATATGTAGATTATCACAAGCACTCAACACATAATAACATGAGAAAAATGCGAAGTTTGTGTCAGAAACATTAAAAATAATCCATATACATCCACACCACAGAGTAATATGCAGCTGTAAGAAAAAAATGAGATCTCTACATAATGACATACAGTGATCATCGAAATACACTGTTAAATGAAAAAGGCAAAATGCTTTTGTGTTTTCTGTGTTACCTTTTGTGGCAAAGAAATAAGGGAAAATAAAATGTAGTCAGTAGTCTTATTAATAGTGGCAATATTACTCTTATAATTTTAAAGCTGTTATTGGTGTATTTTAGGATAAAAAAAGTAAGTAATTATGCTAAATTACTAGAAACCAAACTTGTTTCAGCATAAGAGAAAATATACATAAATATCAAATGAAAGAGATCAAGTAAAAATTACGTGATCTTAAATTTGATTTGGAATAAACTTAAATAAAATTTAGTATAAACATACTTTTTTCCTTTAAAAAATTGCTATCAACCAAAAAAGATCTAGAAACTTTGACAAATTAATAGCAATAAGCAACCCCAGTGCTAATGATCTATTGTCTCTAAATACCATTTTCCATTCAAAGGGACCAAGCATCCACAAGACATGGTGGCTGAAGGTCTGGAGCATGAAATCCAGGAAGTTATCAAGAAAGATGTCCCAGGCTCATCTTAAGTCAATGGGAGTTATGTCAAAAGGACATATAGGAGCCAACTTGAAGGGACTCCCTTTTGGCTTAAGATGGGACAATTTTAATATCAAAAAGAATAACGACGGGGCTGGCCTGGTGGCATAGTGGTTGAGTTTGCACGCTCTGCTTTGCTGGTACAGGGTTTTCGGGTTCAGATCCCAGGCATGGCCCTAGCACTGTTCATTGGGCCACACTGTGGCAGCATCCCACATAAAGTGGAGGAAGATTGACACAGATGTTGGCTGAGCGACAATCTTCCTTGCACAGAAAGATGTTAGCTCAGGGCCAATCTTCCTCACCAAAAAAAAAAAGAAGAAGAAGAAGAAGAAAAAGAATAATGACTGCAATGGATTGGAACACACAAAATATGTAAAATCCATAACTTTATAGTGATTCTAAACAAAAACAGTCACTTGGAGATTTCTAGTGCACCAACTCATTACTCTGGATATTGATAAATAAAAGGGAAAAATCAAGCATTTATTTTGTCTTTTCTATACAAATTGTTTTTCCAGGGTCAATGAGGGGGAAAATCTTCTTCATAGAAGAATTTCAGCTAATAAATGCAGAGGAAACAATAGAAGTAGAAAATTCACTATTACACAATGCCTAATGCAGTAATAGATCTAAGCAACAATCATCAATGAATGTTAAAATTCTTAGGTGAAAGATTGAAAGGAACTTTGCAATGAAGGGTCAGGTTGACGCCATCTGAGTCCACTGATCAATCTCAGCTCCACTAAATTTGGGGCATCCAGACCTTACGTGCCTCCTGACGCGATACCACTGGAAGAACACAGCACCACCTGTGATGTATTTTTGACTAAAGAAAAAAATTTAATCTGAATCTAATCCAGTGTCTAGTTCTAAAACCAAATTACAAGAAATACGGAGGACAGAGATGTTAAATAACACCACAATGAAATGAACAGCCAAATCAGAAAGGACGAATAACCTGATTTCTGTAACAAATCAATGGGACAAAAAAAGAAAC